ATGCCACTAGCCCATATATTAGTTCTTTAATCAACAATGCCTTCTCGCGATTTCGAAATCAATTGCCAGAACTGCATACTGTCCTTCGAGCAACAATTTCCAGTGATATCAGATGATAAACTCTAGTTAATCGAAGTTTAATCAATTTTATTCTGAACTTCTTAGAAGTTCAGTAGAACTATGCTTCGCCCACTCGAAATTAACGCCCTTTCGAAAATGTAAAACATAACCTAGCTTGCTTTCGTTTATATAGTTCTTGGTCATGATACCACCTTAATTAATATATTATTATGGGCCTTGATTATATATTATTTCAAACGGTCACATTCACTCCGATCGGTTTATACATGTTTTCGTCATTTCATTGGGTTACATTCGCTATCTCGAAACATTCCAAGTTCTACAATCTAGAGTTCTATAATATAATGTCTATAACAGTGATAGACTTCAACGAATCTAAACATGGTCCAAGTCTAGCGATCATCATAAACAGGCCAAAATATCCTTGATGTAGATCAAGCAGACCCAACCTGTTTTACATGTCTTTCTTAAATATTTAAATATTTGACAGATCCTCCAAGTAATATAACACTTTACTACCTACAATATGTAACTAGACCAACGAGAGCCTTAACAGGTCCAACAACTATGGACCATCATGACCATCTGCCCGAGCAAAGCCTTAAAGTTCACGCTATGAGTGACTTACAGGTACTCCAACTAATGAAACAATTTTCCCTTTCCCAACTTTGACCAGTTCATTAGATTTAGATAAATCGAATAGTTATTCACGCAGTCATTGCCTCTCCTATGGCTGAAATCCACACTAAATGAGACCAAACAACGAAACAATTACTCTCACACTTTTTAATATTAATCTGTCATTCCAATGACGTTATTGCAATCCAGGGGAAAAAAGGTGCTACCAATACCTCTAGTCTAACCGTACTTTAAACTGGTGGAAACAAATGTATCCTCAGCCTTTGCTTAGAATGATTTGGGTCGAACCAGGGAGCCTTATATTATGGTACCACTTGAACCGATAGCCCAAAGGGAAGAGTTTCGGTTTTCTTGTCCCAGTTATTGAAAAGATTCCTTCAGGGTGCACGTGGTGGCTGTGGTTTAAACCCAAATTCGTGGAAAGAGAATGTTGGTTAAAAGACTGACACACTGAAAAGTCTATAATTCGGCATAATTTCGGTGCTGTTGCCGAGACAACAGATACCCCACAGAGGAGTGACTGTGGAACTAAACGTTGGAAATGAGTTGCTGTCACCCATTTATAACCCTACATAATGAGTATTGACTTTAATAAAGGAGAAGTGTGTTGGGTTAAATGGTAATGGGTGTAAGATATCTTGTACAAGTGATACCATCGAAGTTTCCTTCATTGTCCTGGTATATTCAGGTTTTACTCTGTTCATACCAGATTTGCCACGGTGTGTTCTCTGTGAGTTGCCGAATCAACACAGGCCATCCCATCTGTGTGGTTATAAACGCAAGTGATGTTTTTACATCTCGGAAGTTAAGCAACGAGGCAACAATGGTCAGAGATTAGATAGCTAGAGTACTTGAGCAAAGATGGTCAACAGAACCACGTACAAAAATTACCACCGTTGGTGTTGAGTCGCCCAATAATCTCACCCTGTGGTTTTAAAAGTACCACCGTGAAATAAGGCCAATACGTCAGGTGTCCACGTAAAGCACTTTGACTTCTTATAGACTGTAGTCTTTTACTGTATATACTGACGCAATAAAAAGCACTTGATCATCATATGATCAATAGTTTTATCACTTACTGCTGACGATCACCTCATGGTTAAAAGAATTATATGAATCTTGGACAGAATCTAACGCGATAGCTGTTGGTAAGACAGCTTTTTTAAAGTATGTCTCTACTCTCCACTCTCTATGTGAAATTATTTATTTCGCTAATTGTATCGGGATTGTTGCCAAAATCGCTGTAATATTAAGCCGTTAAGACAGGTGATCACATTAGGCTCTGGCCACATTACATATGTATATAACGCATTGTGATCATTAATACTGAATCTTTCTATGATTCAAACATGAGCTTGATCATTCATATCAGATAACCATTTTATTGCAATTGATGTTTTTAAGATTCTGGAATCAAACTATTGATGATCTATCGGCAAAGATCAAATACAAATTTTCGAAAAATTATTAAACGTTAAACTTGTTTCATTCAACAGAAATAATTGATTTTTGTTACAAATGAATAAATGCTATTATTATGAAATCGTTTTGAACCACATATCTTGCAGATTGCTAATAAATTATTAAATTGTAAAATGTTTAAAATTCCCTATTTATTTATAACTAATTATATTTAAATATATTAAATTTTTACACAAGGTCTTACAAAGTAGCTCATATTTTAGTTGTTAAAATAAATTTAACATGCTGAACAACAAAATCCCTTTTGTTCAACATATTTCCTAATTATTTAATTTATTAACACTTAGCTTTATATCCCCTTAGTTAATAGTATTAATTATGAATACTAAGCATTCATAAATATATTTTTTTTTAATAATTTTTGCAAACAAAACAATTTAAAACAATTGTTATGTAGATTTTCTTGTGAAAAAAATTATTAAAAATTTATTTAAAATTTGCATTATAAAAGTCTTGTAAAGAAAAGAAAAATATTTAAAAACATTGAATTAAAAAATAGCTTTTAAACAAGACCTAAACATATTTATTCAAAAAATTAAATATTACGACAAGTCTCATTAAAGTTATTATGTTGTTTCTCTTAGTTGTTAAATTTATTTATATTCACATAGTTAAAGTTATTTATAATAATTTGAATTTAAGTAGTTAAAGCGTGATGATTCACACTCATATTAAAATGTTTAGGAAAAAAAACATAAAGTTTTATTTAAACAAAAGGCCCCCAACAACAGGTAATAAACAACAACTTAAGGGGTAAAGTTAATTCACACAGTTTTTTTTTTTTTTGTAAGAGACATAAAATCACACATAAATAAATTATGCATTTGAGAAAATATTGGGTAATGGGTAACTAGGTATTGCAATAAATCCACTCAAAACTTTCTTCCCACGCGCTATTTTTGTAAAAATTTTCGCAAGTTGTTTTTCTTTTTATATTTATTTGTAAATATGTATGTATGTAGGTCCAAAGTATTTATGTATATGTCTAAAGTTTTATAATTAAATTATATTTTAAGTTTTGCAACTACTTAGATAATAAATTGCTTATTTAATTTTGAGTGCCTACTAAGTGGGTTTAATTTTGTAACATTTATTTAATTGTATGCATATTTATTTTTTCTATTAAATATTTACTCACAATTATTTTAATAGTTTAATTTTACTGTTGTTTTAAATTGTTTTTTTTTTATAAGAAGATGTTTTCAATAGACCGATAAATGTGGCCAAGGTTTTGGAAAATCTTAACATTTAATTTATTTAACTCATTTTCGCTTAATTACTGCAGTCAATGGCGTGAAATGTGTATTATTTTTGGAAAACTCTTATTAATGTTTAAATAACACGCACTTTTGAAAAGATTGTGGTGTCTTTTATTAAAGTTTTTGGCAGTAAAAGCTTTAAAAACAAAAGACTTAAGATGCAAACATGTAATACAAGTAAACAATTCTCTAACGTGCTCTCCCTCTCTCTTTCTCTCTTTATCACATTTTAAAAAGAAACGACTTAAGAAACAAGTTTACAGTCTGTATTTTTAAAAGTAAATTTCCCATTGAAATTTTTACATTTTAAGCTTTCCTAAAGATTTTTTTAAAGAAAATATTGAAAGATTTTCTTAAAGAAAATGAAATGAACTAGAATTGAACTAGAACTGAACTGGAACTGATCTAGACTGAACTAGAACTGAACTAGAACTGAACAAGAACTGAACTAGAACTGAACTAGAACTGAACTAGAACGGAACTAGAACGGAACTAGAACTGAACTAGAATTGAACTAGAACTGAACTAGAACTGAACTAGAACTGAACTAGAACTGAACTAGAACTGAACTAGAACAGAACCTGAACTAGAAACTGAACTAGAAACTGAACTAGAACTGAACTAGAACTGAACTAGAACTGAACTAGAACTGAACTAGAACTGAACTAGAACTGAACTAGAACTGAACTAGAACTAAACTAGAACTGAACTAGAACTGAACTAGAACTGAACTAGAACTGAACTAGAACTGAACAAGAACTGAACAGAACTGAACTAGAACTGACTAGAACTGAACTAGAACTGAACTAGAACTGAACTAGAACTGAACTAGAACTGAACTAGAACCTGAACTACAACTGAACTACAACTGAACTAGAACTGAACTAGAACTGAACTAGAACTGAACTAGAACTGAACTGAACTAGAACTGAACTAGAACTGAACTAGAACTGAACTAAACTGAACTAGAACTGAACTAGAACTGAACTAGAACTGAACTGAACTAGAACTGAAACTAGAACTGAACTAGAACTGAACTAGAACTGAACTAGAACTGAACTAGAACTGAACTAGAACTAAACTAGAACTAAACTAGAACTGAACTAGAACTGAACTAGAACTGAACTAGAACTGAACTAGAACTGAACTAGAACTGAACTAGAAACTGAACTAGAACTGAACTAGAACTGAACTAGAACTGAACTAGAACTGAACTAGAACTGAACTAGAACTGAACTAGAACTGAACTAGAACTGAACTAGAACTGAACTAGAACTGAACTAGAACTGAACTAGAACTGAACTAGAACTGAACTAGAACTGAACTAGAACTGAACTAGAACTGAACTAGAACTGAACTAGAACTGAACTAGAACTGAACTAGAACTGAACTAGAACTGAACTAGAACTGAACTAGAACTGAACTGAACTACTAGAACTGAACTAGTACAGAACAAGAAAAGAACTATAACTGAACTAGAACTAAAATAAACTTTGTTAAGAAAATTATTGAAAATTCTCAAAATTTTACATTTTACAGATTCAACACTTTGCCTATCTCCAGGACTTAAACCGACATCAACATAAAGTATCAAATCAAGGTAAATCTCAAGCGGCTCAAAATAAAAAGTCTGCAGCCGCTAGTTTACGTGCCCAAGCCCAAACAACGCAAGTAGAAGAAACTGAACAACGTTATGCCGTAGCAGTAGAACAACCAATACCTCTACATCCAAGAGGTCATCTGTATAGACAACAAATACCCTATCATTTAGCAGTACAACAACAACAACAGCAGCAGCAACAACAACAACAGCAGCAGCAACAACAACAACAGCAAGCTACTGAACAGCAAAATCCTCATCAGGCACAATATCAAATTATTCCCGAAGAACAATTTCTGAAAATACTCGAAGAAGAATTACAAGCTCGAGCTTATCATGAAGATCAAGTGAGAAGACATCAGGCTGTGCAACAGCAAAGTCAACAACGTCACCAGGAACGTCATCAACAACAACAGCAGCAACAACAACAAGCTGCAGCTGCCGCTGGAGCAGCTTCACAAAAGGTGGGTTTGCAAGCGCAAGGTTTAGGAAGTTATAGACAAAGATTAGAGGCTGAGGAAGATGGCCAGCAGGAATATGTTCAATATGTACAAAGACCTAGAGGAGGACCCAAATACTTGCCCTTACCGCAAGGAGGACCTAGAGATGAACAACAACAACAAGAGCTAGCAGCATCACCACAACCCTTACCACCACAAATTGCCTACTATCAACCTCAAATTAGCTATAAAACATTACCCAATCATCCTTTGGCCAAATCTTCTTTGGAAAAAGAAATTGAAATGCTGTTGGCCTCCAACAAACCCAATGTGGCTCCCGTACAGATTATAGACAATTCAAATGAACCCTCAGCATTAGTTAATCATCATCATCGAGCCCCAGGACCAGCTCCACCACCGCCACAACCTTCAGTCAGAACTCCCAAATCATATCTGCCAAGTACGGCTGCTCCCAATAGTCTTGTCGATGCCAACGAACAACCGTTTGTACCCTCTCTGTTTCGTTATAACAACTATCCACAGCCCACACAAAATTATCCCGTCCCAGTGCCACAGCAAGTAATCGATGCTAAAAAACTGGGTCCAGTAGTTTATCCACAACAAGCTCAGGGTCCTACACCCTCCGCCCAGCCACCTGTACAAGCTTCACAGTTTTATTACCATGATGCAGCACCTTCACCCTCACCAAGACCCAAAGCATATCGCTCGAAATATGGCACTAAATTTGTCACAACTCCCACGCCACTAAAGGCTCGTCAAAATGAAATTAACTATCCAGCGCATAAATATGCACAACAACTCTATGAACCCTCACCCTCGGTGGCTTCAGCTCACCCACACATTTCTATCCTAGTCCTCCCGACCCACACAGAAGTTTGCAACCTACAGCACAACCAACACCAGCAGCCATTGCAAAATACTCCGCACCACCAACTGATTTAAGACAATATGCTTTACCCGGTCCTTCCACTTCACAATCAAGTATTTACGTATCGCAAGGAACAGGAGTAGCTACACCCTCTCGTCCCGTTAGCACTGTTAAACCCAAAACATTAGATGACTTGAAACAATTACATTTACCCCAACCAGGAGGTAAACCACTAACACAGGCACAATTCCAGGCATTAGTAGATGCTGGCTATCCAGTAACCGCTGTACCCGTACCAATTCCCGTTCCATATGAACAATACGTCAAAGATCACCCCGACTATCGTAATCAACCACCACCACAACCTCCAGCATTACCTGTTAACTATGAACACCTAATGCGTTTTGCTCAATTGCAACAAAATCATCAAGTTCCTCAATACGGTGGTCCTCAACGACCCCTACATCAACGTGCTCTTGTGGCACGGCCATCAGAGCCATCACCGAAAATTGTATCCCTCGGCCTCAGAACCACAAACTGCTACGGCAATTGGTGGTGGCAGTGTAACGTATTTGCGAGCAATACCCGAAAATCAAAAACGACGTCCACGAGATGAAACCGAAACGAAAGTGCTAGGCGCCAAGGAAGAGAGAAGGATGAAGTAGAAACGAAAGTCGAAGTCGAAGAAAAGAAAACGAAATAGTAGTAAAAGGAGCATATATGTATACACACATACTATATACGCGCATTATTTTCTTATTTTTATTAATTATTTTATTAAATTAACATAAAAAAGTATTAAAATTTTAGTTAAGTATTTTATTTGAATAAATTATGTACATTTTTTTGTATTTGTTAATAAATCGATTTAAATAAATTTTATAAAAGAAAACAATGAACGGATCTTAATTAGCGTAAATGAATGGACCGACTCATATCTTATGAACCGATGAGCTGTTATACGCAAGTATTTAAAGTTCGGAAAGCTTTACGTTCAACTTCAACACCATCTATCGCCACTAAAGATTTTATTTGATGTACCGAATTAGGGAATTCTATAGTCTAGTCTATAGTCTAGACTAGACTATAGACTAGACTATAGACTAGACTAATAGACTAGACTATAGACTAGACTATAGACTAGACTATTAACTAGACTATAGACTAGACTATAGACTAGACTATAGACTAGACTATAGACTAGACTATAGACTAGACTATAGACTAGACTATAGACTAGACTATTAACTAGACTATAGACTAGACTATAGACTAGACTATAGACTAGACTATAGACTAGACTATAGACTAGACTATAGACTAGACTATAGACTAGACTATAGACTAGACTATAGACTAGACTATAGACTAGACTATAGACTAGACTATAGACTAGACTATAGACTAGACGATAGACTAGACGATAGCTAGACTATAGACTAGACGATAGACTAGACGATAGACTATAGACTAGACTATAGACTAGACTATAGACTAGACTATAGACTAGACTATAGACCTAGGACTATAGACTAGACTATAGACTAGACTATAGACTAGACTATAGACTAGACTATAGACTAGACTATAGACTAGACTATTAGACTAGACTATAGGACTAGGACTATAGACTAGGACTATAGACTAGACTATAACTAGACTTATAGACTAGGACTATAGACAATAGACTATAGACTAGACTCAGACTAGGACTATAACTAGACTATAGACTAGACTATAAGACTTAGACTATAGACTAGACTATAGACTAGGACTATAGACTAGAAGACTATAGACTAGACTATAGACTAGACTATAGACTAACTATAGACTAGACTATAGACTAGACTATAGACTAGACTTATTAGACTAGACTAGACTATAGACTAGACTATAGACTAGACTATAGACTGACTATAGACTAGACTATAGACTAGACTATATAGATAGACTATGAAGACTATAGACTAGACTATGACCTAGACTAGACTAGACTAGACTAGACTATAGACTAGACTAGACTAGACTATAGACTAGACTATAGACTAGACTATAGACTAGACTAGACTATAGACTAGACTATAGACTAGACTATAGACTAGACTATAGACTAGACTAGACTATAGACTAGACTATAGACTAGACTATAGACTAGACTATAGACTAGACTATAGACTAGACTATAGACTAGACTATAGACTAGACTATAGACTAGACTATAGACTAGACTATAGACTAACTATAGACTAGACTATAGACTAGACTATAGACTAGACTATAGACTAGACTATAGACTAGACTATAGACTAGACTATAGACTAGACTATAGACTAGACTATAGACTAGACTATAGACTAGACTATAGACTAGACTATAGACTAGACTATAGACTAGACTATAGACTAGACTATAGACTAGACTATAGACTAGACTATAGACTAGACTATAGACTAGACTATAGACTAGACTATAGACTAGACTATAGACTAGACTATAGACTAGACTATAGACTAGACTATAGACTAGACTATAGACTAGACTATAGACTAGACTATAGACTAGACTATAGACTAGACGATAGACTAGACTATAGACTAGACTATAGACTAGACTATAGACTAGACTATAGACTAGACTATAGACTAGACTATAGACTAGACTATAGACTAGACTATAGACTAGACTATAGACTAGACTATAGACTAGACTAGACTATAGACTATAGACTAGACTATAGACTAGACTATAGACTAGACTATAGACTAGACTATAGACTAGACTATAGACTAGACTATAGACTAGATTATAGACTAGACTATAGACTAGACTATAGACTAGACTATAGACTAGACTATAGACTAGACTACTAGACTATAGACTAGACTATAGACTAGACTATAGACTAGACTATAGACTAGACTATAGACTAGACTATAGACTAGACTATAGACTAGACTATAGACTAGACTATAGACTAGACTATAGACTAGACTATAGACTAGACTATAGACTAGACTATAGACTAGACTATAGACTAGACTATAGACTAGACTATAGACAGACTATAGACTAGACTATAGACTAGACTATAGACTAGACTATAGACTAGACTATAGGACTAGACTATAGACTAGACTCTAGACTAGGACTATAGATCTAGACTATAGACTAGACTATAGACTAGACTATAGACAGACTATAGACTAGACTATAGGACCTAGACTATAGACTAGACTATAGACTAGACTATAGACTAGACTATAGACTAGACTCTAGACTAGGACTATAGACTAGACTATAGACTAGGAATATAGACTAGACTATAGACTAGACTATAGACTAGACTATAGATAGACTATAGGACTAGACTATAGACTAGACTATAGACTAGACTAGACTAGACTATAGGACTAGACTACAGACCTAGGACTATAGGACACTAGACTATAGACTAGACTATAGACTAGACTATAGACTAGACTATAGACTAGACTACAGACTAGACTATAGACTAGACTATAGACGTTTGAAAACGTTGCGTTTCAAAATATAAAATCTTCGTATTTTCAAATCAAACAAAACTGAATTAAGATTTTACTGAATCGAATATTTTATGTGATTACTTTTATTAAGATTTCAACTCTATTATTTTAACACTACGACATTGAATATCAAATAAAATATTTATATGCGATGATATTCATACAGATTATTGTAGTTCCTAGATTAAAAACTTTTTTTTTGTTATAAATTTCAAAATTTAACTTTTAAGATGTATGGGCCTTTAGGAGTAAAAACTTGTTACCTTTAAGAATATACATAGTATAAATACAAAGTAAATGTATGTATGTGTGTACTTTTTATGTATGAAATTTCATACTTAAACTAGACTCTATAAAAATATATATATAAAATTTGTGTAATTTTCATAAAATATTTTTCTTACATAATGCTCTAAGTTCGTGGAAACTAAGCATTTATTTTTTACAACAATTACTACTTTTTCGTTAAAACGATTCAAACTTAATGGAGTGATTGAGAAACCTTTGCTATGGTTGGAAGTTAAACGGTGGATTACTATTGCTGTTGCTGCTATCAGCAGAACTTAATGTTTCCGGGTGTGCCTCTTTAGCTTGAATACGCGAAATATTGGGATCTTTTTTATCCTTACGATCACGTTCTTTATCCTTTTCCTTATTGTGCTTGTGTTTATGTTTATGCTTATGTTTCTTTTGTCCTTCTTTTTTCTTTTTCTATAAATGATTGAGATAACGAGAAATAAAAAAACTTAATTACATTAACCACTTAAAAACTAAATAACCAACCTTAGAGGTACCATCCAGTTTATGTTTCATTTCACTATCAGCTTTAGCTGAATCAAAACTACTATCCATGCGTGTTACCGTAGATTCAGATATATCTATTATTGTTATAGAATTTTCATCCTCATCAAATATCTCACTTTTAAGTTTTTTACTCTCCGAACCATAACTATCAGTTTCTGGAGTAAATGTCGTGGTATATCTACTTTACTCACTGCTGTTGTAGTCGTCGTAGTTTCCGCATATATTTCATCTTTTATAGGTTCATTGACGACTGTTATTTCTTCGTGTGTCTCTAACTTTATGATTTCATCTCCTACTGCAAACGCTTCTGTAGCTGTTCGTTTTAGTGTATTTGTCGGCGGTTTTTGTTCTAAATTTCCTGTGTCAACATCATCGCTGCGTGTTACTTCTGCTTTAATTTCTGGCACTGGGGGTGTTGGTGTTTTTGTTGCACTCGAAGAAGATTTTTTCATTGTACCTTCACGTACAAAATCTTTGTACATACTATTCATTTCAGCAGATTGTAAGCAGAGAGGACGTTTAGTTCCATAGAGGGCATAATATAAATCGACCATGTCACAGCGTAGTTTTGTATCGAAAGCCAATTTATTGCTATTTATTGAGTTTTTGTTTGGGAGGATTGAAATTGGGAATAATGGTTTGAATATATTTGTATTTTGGTTATTAATTTGTTATTGTTTGAGTTATAACTTTTACTGCTGGTGTAAGTTAAAATCCTTTCTTTAATCTGGTTTAAATTTCTTGGTTTTTTTTCAATTTAATATCAGTTATCACATATATTTTCAAAAAAAGTCATACAAAATTTCACAAAAAACGGGAAGGGAACACGGAGGCACGAAAAAGGCGGAGGGGAGAAAAACAGGCGAAAAGCCCAACAAGGGGAAACAAAACGAAAACAAACAAAAACCAGGAAAGGAAAAAAGAAGCGAGAGAGCGAGCGAGCGAGCGAGCGAGCGAGCGAGCGAGCGAGAGCGAGCGAGCGAGCGAGCGAGCGAGCGAGCGAGCGAGCGAGAGAGCGAGCGAGCGAGCGACGAGCGAGAGCGAGCGAGCGAGCGAGCGAGCGAGCGAGGAGCGAGCGAGCGAGCGAGCGAGCAGCGAGCGAGCGAGCGAGCAGCGAGCGAGCGAGCGAGCGAGCGAGCGAGCGAGCGAGCGAGCGAGCAGCAGCGAGCGAGCGAGCGAGCGAGCGAGCGAGCGAGCGAGCGAGCGAGCGAGCGAGCGAGAGAGCGAGCGAGCGAGCGAGCGAGCGAGCGAGCGAGCGAGCGAGCGAGCGAGCGAGCGAGCAGAGCGAGCGAGCGAGCGAGCGAGCGAGCGAGCGAGCGAGCGAGCGAGCGAGCGAGCGAGCGAGCGAGCGAGCGAGCGAGAGCGAGCGAGCGAGCGAGCGAGCGAGCGAGCGAGC